GAAGGACCTACACTTTGAGGCTGTACAAGAACTGGTTCCTGCCTGCCTTGGGTAAAGATCTCAGTGCAGCTAAGATATTACTAAGGACTAACAGCTTATTTTATATGGACAATGGAGCTGTCTGGGATGGTTTGGACAGAGCTGATCCTGCCTTGGGCAAGGGTTGGACTAGATGTGACCTGTGGAGCTTCCTTCCATTTGCACTTCTCTGTGATTCTATGATTTCTATGAATATTCACTGGAGCACCTCATCATTATCAGTGTGTCTCACCATAGTGCCTGAGGGTCCTAATTGTGGATCAGGACACCAAGACACTATTTGCAGTACAAATTAAAAAAACAACCCTGGTCTCTGCCTCAAAGAGCTGGCCCTCGCCTGAGGGTCCTAATTGTGGACACCAAGACACCAAGACACTATTTGCAGTACAAATTTAAAAAAAAACCCTGGTCTCTGCCTCAAAGAGCTGGCCCTCTAATATTGAAGGTGCCCTGCACTGGGCTGGGTGGTATCTGGTGGCTGTGCAGGTGTGCGAGGAGGTATGAAGCTCTTTTTTGCACACTTAGCCATGCCCTGTATTCTTGCACACTCAAGAGATGTGCACCATAGTGTTCTGGAGGTGCAAGTCCAAGTTGAAGATCTGCTGCCATGAACAGCTGTACATGGGGCTGCCATAATGAGGGCACCTTTGGCTACAGCAAATAGCACGTAGGAGGGAATCCTGCCTGGCAGCCTTTGCATCCCCAGTTAGGCACACACTTACAGCTGGACCAAATGGGGGAAACCATCATAGGATCATGGGAAAGTCAGGTTGGAAGGGACCTCACAAGGTCACATCTTGTCCAGCCCCCTGCTCAAGGCAGCACCATCCCTGCCTAAACCATCCCAACCAAGTGTCTGTCCAACCTGCTCTTGGAAACTGCCAAGGATGGAGATTCCCTAACTTCTCCAGGCAGCCTGTTCCAAGGCTTGACCACCCTCAGAGTCTGAAAGTTCCTCCTTATCAATAACTTCCACTTCCCCTACTGCAATTTAATCCCACTGTTCCTAGTCCTATCCCTAGGATCCCATCTCCATCCTCTCTGTAATGGCCCTGCAGGTACTTGAAGATGGCTATCAAACTCCCCTTCAACCTCCTCATCCCCAAGCTAAATAACCCTAGTTCTTTCAGCCTTCATAACTCATGCTCCCCAGGCCCCTAGCCATTTTTGTTGCCTTGTGCTGGACTCTTTCCAAACTGCCCACATCCTTCTTCAAGTGAAGGGTTCAAAACTGGACAAAGGACTCCAGGGAAGGCCTCCCCAGTGCTGGATAGAGGGGAAGAATCACTGCCCATGATTTGCAAGTGACCCTCCTGTTCAAACGGCCCAGGAGGTTGTTGGCTTTTTTTGCAACAAGGGCACATTGCTGGCTCCTATTCAGCTTATTCTCTACTGTAACAGTACAAGTCCAGAGGGAAGCACCCAAGTCACAGCCCTCTGCTCCCAGACTGGAGGGACCAGCTAGCCCTCTGGACAGACAGCCACATGACAGAGCAAGCCAGGAGCAAAACAGGAAAGCACCGTACCTCCCAGAGGAAAGGGAAATCCATGCCCTCCCTCTGCACCCTGTGATGCCTCCTGAAATCTTTGACGGGGTTGTGCAACATGCCCATCAACTATGAATGAGCCTCTAACACAGCCCGTGTCCATAGTCCCCAAACACTTCACGAGCACAATGAGCAAGGCAAGTTTCCACGTTAGGCTTCCATGTGACTTAGCACAGGTCATTCGAGGAATTTGCATCAGAGCCAGAAGGAGCCCCCAGATTATCCAGCAAAAAGGTCGACCTCTAGCCAGGCATGGACACCCCGCCCCAGCTTCCAAGGACTCTCTATGGTTGCTTCTGCCCTGTTTTCCCAAGGACGAAGCTAAGCTGGCTCCTGTTCCCCCCATTTCCAATCCTGTGCTAATCTCCACGATGCAGCTTACCTTTAATTCTGGCCAGGAGCACATCTGCTTTGACGTCAACTTCTCTCCTCTGTAATCTTTCTCTTCGGGGCAGAAACTCTGGAAAGTGCGCTGAATGCTGCAAAAAGGACAGTGTCAGAGAGGGTGACCTTGGGCTCCACAGCTCGAAAAGACCCGCGCCTGCTTGACAAATCAAGGTGAATTCCCCTGGCAGAGAAGGACAGCATTAATGTTTAAGAACCCAGGCTTGCAGCCTTGCAGGAGAGCAATAAAGATATATCTGGGTGATTGGTTAAGAAAGCTAGTCTAGGATCCAGATTCAGCTGTCACGCATAATGCATTTCCCTTCTCAGTAACATCTGATTCTCCTGGAGCCGTAATAGCTTATGATGGCGAACAGGATAATTAACGATGGGATGCAATCTTTAGAGGTCTGTAAAATAATGTAGCATGCAGGGAAAATTAATCAGCCTTTACCACCTTTCGGCTATGGATGGTAAAATGAGATGAATATAGTCTCAATCCAAGTGAAAGTGCTGCCTGTCTGTATGGCAGAAAATACCTCCATAGCTGCTAGTAGGTGTGCGGTCATGGCCGTGCCCCCTGCTTTTGCTGTGGCACGCACAGGTGTGACGTGTTGTGTCAGGGGTGATTGCATAGTTTGGGTAGGAGGTTGAACAAAGGATCTGTCTGGGCTGGTTTAGGCAGTAAAGATGCGGGCAGGATCAAAACCAGCATTTACCCACCCATTCACGGTGTCTACAGACCTGATCCAAAACCTGTCGGAAGCAGCAGAGAGACACCCGGGGATCTAAAAGCAGAGACCTGCCATGCAAAACTCCCTCAGCAAGTAGGGCCTGCGGCGGGCCAGTAGGGGGCGCTCCTGCGTTGAGCCGCCCACCTCCCTGCGCCCGACCACCTTCCCGGCTCCGAGTGCCTCCCTGGGGTGCCTCCCGTCCGGCCGACCCCTTCCCCG